AATCTTTCCGCTTTTTGATATAAATATAGATTAACAAGCAAATATTTATGATTTTAATGAAAATATCTTATAAAACATTTAATGTTCGTTTTAAAGAATATAATAGCCACATCAAAAATCCAAAATAAACAAATCCATACACGTTTACAAATCGTGGGTGGTGTATTCATCTCACAACGAGTTAAATATCTTTTCTTATTGGAAACCTTTACTAATTCTATAAATTGGCTGGTAACAAGTAACTCAATCTCTTTGATCATGTTAACATATTGAGGTCATTTAGAACCATTGACCAATATTGTGTTACATTTCAACCCTCCATTGTATTTGATATTATGAACATTCGACAGGCATTTGAAAAAAGATAGATTGTTACATTTATTTCAACTTATGATATTCTAAATACCATAAATGACTTTTTTTTTCTTATTCTTTATTGATCATATTAAAAAAAATGTTTTGCTAAAAAAGGCGTACCTACTTTGAGGAGTTTTTAAGTGTTACTCTTTTTCTTTTTTACTTTATACTCTTAATATATACGTAACTTATTATTTACATTTTGACATTTGAATATAGATAATTAATTATTGATATATATTAATTATATACGTTTTGGCTTGAATTTACTGGGTACATAAGAATAACACCTGAGTCCTCAGGAATGGCAACGCATGGGGGGTATCATGGGCGAAACAGTATACTCTGTTATATCCATGGTACTGCTCATGTCTATAGGCGACGGTTACCACTTTCCATCAGGTGGGCCGTCAGCTTGTTTGCCATTCGAAGTTGTATAAAAAAATACAAAATTTTATATATGTTACATACCAATATTTAAAAAGTATAGTCTGTATTATTTTTTATCTCTACAATATACCTAGTACATCAACAGTATAATTCACCTCCCGATATTTTAACAACCCTAACGGGCTTGCGTCGATAAATTACTAATAATAATCATAATAAAAAATGAATCATAAACAGAACCCATTATCACCTCCCCGCAGGTTATATCCGGTACGAAATCACGGGGTTCAAACCCCATAAGATGACTAGCCAAACTCAACCTCGTCACTGGGGCTAATTTAAATCTAATATAAGATAAATGATAATATACATAATACATCTTTTATATCTTACATAATACATCTTTTTAGAGATCCAGTTCCTTCTTTTAGTGTAAATAGACTAAAAGAAAAACTAAAAAAAAAAATTATGTTCCTAAAATGAACAAACATGTAAGAAAAGATATTTACTTTACAAGAAAAATATTTGGAATAGATAGTTGTTAATAAGGATGTATTTCGCTTGAAGGTTTAGTAAAAAGAATTGTCGTAAACTAAGATTATTTTTGTTTTATGTTAGAGTTTGGTACTTATCGCCTTATACATATTGAGAACTTACCAATTTCTCCCATAAACCATGATTACATGATTATAGTAGAGGACAGAATCCATTACTATCATGTTAATGACATAATTATTATGGAGCATAAAGATATCTTAGTCCTGATGATTGAAAATGCATTAGAAATATTATGAGCGGCATAGTATATACTACGATATTCGTGGTACAGTGGTAACACCCCATCGATTTGCAATTGATAGGCGGAATATAATTAAAAAATAGATATCGTAAATGGAAGTAAATTTTAAAATCTGTTAATTTATTGTCTCTCAAGTGATTGTGTGAGATATTGATTGCAGGAATTTATTACAAGTAAGGAAAGAAGATAAAGTAAATGTCAAAGAAATTTGTTAAGCGTAATTAAATAAAAGGTCTCCAATTATGTCTATTAATATAATAGTAGTTTAATTAAATCATATAATTCAAAAATGATCGAAGTCATCAAAATGAATACCATTCATTTTTGTAACGAATATATTAATTATGAATATAATGAATATGATAATAATTAATCAATTACTAACTCTTTCCCGTGACTCCTTACGCGTGACCGGTATACTGATCGGGTTAAACTATACCCCATGCCCTTCTTTCTATATAGTATTCGTATACAAAATTTCATAAAGTTTAATTCAGCCGTTAAGACGCTAAGAGTTTGTCACCAATAAAACTCACTTTTACATTTATAATATTAATAAGGATTTGTAATAAGTATTTTAGTTCTTAAATTAGAAGTTTTATAAACATTAACTTTTTTACTTCCACATAATGATCAAATATTTAATCTTTCATGTTTATAACACAAATAAAGTTGGAATTACACCCTTGGTTTTAAATCGTTTACCAAAATCAATCTCTCGAGCAAATTATCAATTTGGCGATGCAGTAATTTCTTGGTTAAATATTATAAACTTATTATCGTTTCTAAGATAAAATTAATTATATCGAAAAGGTAATTAAAGGATGCAGAGGATTTTTATTGTTACCGTAAAGTAATTGCCTATTTCCGAGAATAAACTGGGAAAAAGTCTCATGATTTCTCAATGGGAGGTATTTTATAAAGTCAACATTGTTATAAAGAGTCAATGAAACAATTACTCTATCAATAAGAAAATATTTTACTAAAACATGCTTTGTTTATTAAAATTTTTAAAGAAAGAGAGAAAGAGTTGCAAATCTATTATTTACAGAAATTCTCTAAGATATTATATCTCTTTTGTTGATGTGTTAATATAATTATTTACTCATATAACATTTCATCATCATCATCATATCAGCTTTTAACTGTCCATTGATGAACATAGATCAGGTTACAGAGTTTTACCAGTAGTAGATTTTTCAGCTCCCTGCCGAGGTTTTCCCAAAAGACTACAGTATGGGGTTCTTCAAAATAGGTTTCTTCAGGGTCGGCAACGCGTAATACCTCTGGTATTGAAGATGTTCATAGGCTACGGTAACCATTTACCATCAGGTGGGCCGTATGCTTGTTTGCCACCTCAGTGGTATAATAAAAAACCGCACTTAGATTTTTGTAACGTTTAAAGAGAAACGCTGCTACCCATCGCTTGACCATTAAGTTTCCTCAGTCGCCTTTTACAATATCCACGGAAAAGAAAGGGTTGGCCCATTCTATCCTGAGAGCATACGGTATATGAATAACTTATGTTCGTTTCCAATTGAATGAAATATTGGATTTAAATCATATCATAATTAATATTTTAAACAGAATTCATGTTTAAATTTCCGAACTGCTATTAGATACAATAGTTTGGAAGAATTTATTTGAAATTTGAAATTTAGAGAATCATTTATATTTCACATAAAAAAAAATGTTGTAAGTGTTAACCAGTGACAAGTATAATACACCGTGTCGGTTTAATTAGTAAAGAAAAACTAATAGAATGATCGTAATTCTGTATATATGTGAGTATGTTGATGGTAACTTTGATAAAAATACCAAAATACTAGGAAGACGTGCAATTCATAGCATGCTTGCTTTAAAGCTAATTGATGATGAGTTGGCTCACAGCGCCGAAAGTTGTCAACGCGGCGGCGATAGCGGCACTCTTATTAGGATCCCTCGCATATTTTGTAAGTAAAATATTTTGATAGTCATTAACATTTGAAAGTATAATAATTTCGTAGTGACTTTATAAATTCTTATATCGGTATGTTTTAAGAATAAAATAGAGGTGAAACTACATTGAGAGTTTAATTGAACAGAATGCAGATTTTTATGTCGTACTGCTATTTGAAGATTTAAATTAGAAATATATTTTTTTTAACAATATTATTTTTATAATATAATACAATTGTAACTAGACGATGTCTGTACATGAGAAATATTTAAGATACAATAATTTTTAGAATTTTTGTCTATTTGTATGTTTGTTCCGGCATCATGCAAAAACTACTCCACCAAATTGGATATGGTTTTCACAGTTACGTTCCTAAAAGTCGAGCTTAGAATTTAGTATATATTTTATACTACATTATATGCTACATAAAAATGATCTATTTCATTAGATTTTCTACTTCAGAAATCCATGCATATCAAATAATGGTCAAAAACCTAACTTTATGCATAAAAAGGAAAATCAAAAACTATTTTATACTTGACAATCTTGAAAAATAGAAACTATTTCTACTAATCATATTTATTGCTTAATATTTTTATCATAAAAATTATAAAACTTCGTCACCGCCCATTTATATCCCAATTTGGAATAAAATCTCTTGCTACGAGAAAAGAATATTCGCCAGTGTGCTGGTCAGGCGATTTAATATATATTTTTACTTCTAGCTTTTCTTGTTTTGAATTCGTATATACTTTGTTATTGTACTTTGTTTTCATAGTCGCCTGTTACGATATTCTTGAAATGGAAAGGAGTCTTAACATTATTGTATTCTTACTCAGCCACTACACTAGAGGAAACTAAATTCTAAAATAATGATCTACAGATTAATTCCTAGAGCATCTCACTATATAATATATTCATTTTATAATTCTAAAATCAACAAGTTTGCTTTAATATAAACAAAAACCTTTAAAAAAATCATTTGGTTAAACGTTGACGTATTTCTGATAAAAATTCGATAACACTGCTACGACTTTTATCCGTGAAGTTTGAGTTGGCTTATGAAAAATTCTTTGACTCGGCACGTTTAATAAGATAGTTGGGGAAAGATAACACTGATGTGGATTCTTAATGCGATTGATTTATTCAAAGTGTACGGAAATCGATAGGGCGATCATAAGGCATTATCGCTCTGCCCTTTAAGAAAACCTGTTTACGTGCTATAAGCTCTTAAAACGGCAGTTATGATATTTAATTTTGACGATTAGATATATTTACTTCTTTAGTAGCAAGAGAAATTATTTGAATTATTGGTAATTTAAAATTCAATGTCGAATCATGTTTAATTATTCAGTGGTCAGCAAAAAGTGGGCACGCGTTAGCCAGTACCTTGCCGCCCGAGCCGCGCTCCCCTATCCACTACGCCAGGTACGGACCCGCACGCACTCGGGGAAGGGATGATCGAAAATAATAGGGGAAGAGAATTTTAAAATTTATATTTTTTTGCAGCCGGCGCAGGTGATATAACGTGTGCGCGTGCGCCGGCGGCTCACTTGTACGCGAAGCTCCGCTGCCATCGCTCGCGCAACTTAAAGCTCTCTAAGCTTCCCTTATCGTGCAGTGCTGTTGCGATCGCAGCGCCGACCGGTCGTGCGCCCTTACTCGCGATCATGCTGCAAGAAATTCAACTCGTTCAAGGTCAGACGAACTATGTCGTCGTTTCATCCGGATACCCGTCGACGACTGTAACAAAGGCGACAATGGAAAAGAGAAATATACCAATCGCTCCAGCTCCTGAGAAAAATTACGTGACACACGACACACCTCCAAACTTGCAATACAGAAAGAAGGTGCACTTCAGAACAAACCCATACACCGGACCTCAGGCTGCGTCGATAGCGCGCCGCAACGCCAGGGAACGTAATCGCGTGAAACAAGTGAATGATGGATTCAATGCCTTGCGCCGCCACCTCCCAGCTTCCGTAGTCGCCGCCCTGTCCGGTGGCGCTAGACGTGGTTCCGGTAAAAAACTTAGCAAAGTTGACACACTAAGGATGGTTGTCGAGTATATAAGGTATTTACAGCAATTATTAGAAGAAAGTGACGCAGCTCTGGGCATTACCCGTGATCAGGAAAATAGAGAAAATATTCCAAATAGTAACAATGCTCAGCCAATGACTTCTATAGATATGGACGATGGATTTTTCTATGGAAGCGGTTCACCTTGTTCTGAAAAAGCTGATTCTCCAGCACCATCCGAGTGCTCTTCTGGAGTGTCATCAGCTTATTCCACAGTAGATCGCTACGAGGTTACGACACAGCAGAATTTAGGTCCTATGGATGAAGACGAATTACTAGACGTCATCTCGTGGTGGCAACAAAAATAGCGATATGGTAAGTCATACTTTTTACTATATTATAAGGTCAAATATACTCATAATTGTAATTCTGTTGAGGCAAATAGAGGCATTGTGTTGACTATTGTCATTTTGTTTGTCCAATGCCTTTTTTAATATGTTTTATGACTACCTATATATTAGCTAACTGCAATTCAATTAAAAACTGCAATATACTTATAAATTATATATATATATATAAAAAAAGATGTACTAAATTTATTTTCCTTTTGTTTACAGGTCAAACAACTGCAATATTGGACGATTCCCTCCGATAATACGTGCATTATTTTTGCATTTATTGTGAATAAATACGAAAAGACTCTTGTATATCTAGTCAAACCAGTAGTGCCTTATCATAGATGTGTTTTCTTAGCGAGCATTAAAACCTCGATGTGCTAATGAAAGTTCCACTTTCGTTTAGTTTTGTCATTTGTTACCTGTTAATTAAACTTATTGAGGCTTTGTAATTCATGCAAGTGTACAATTTAAGTACTTAAGAAGCCTACCAACAATTGTAAATAAGTATTAGGTAATAATTTTAACTTAAGGAATAGAAATAAATTATTTATTGAATTTTATGAATTTTTGTTTTTGTTATTAAGTTATTAAATCAATCAATATTTATTAACAGTCTTAAATCATAAACACAATTTTCCCTATTAATTTATACATTTCTCTATGATAAATTATATATTAACCCCAGTTGCAACTAATTCCAAAAAGTTTTGAATAACCTACTAACCGATTAATTAGCACATTGCCTATATTTATTAAAAAAAAAACTGAAAAAGTCAAACATTTATTTTTAAATATTTCTTTTATAACGTATAATCGTGAAGTAATTGTTGGAACCATAGTACGTTACATACTTGGTTTTCTTTTTATTTATTCTTTTCATTCACCGCTAATTTCCACAAATAAATTATGTTTATTAATGACTAGCTGTGTTCCGTGGATTTGCCTGCGTTAATTAATATATAAAGTATTTTACCTATATGTTAAGTTAGCATAAAGCCCATTTACCTCTGTACCAAATTTCATTTTTGTTATAAGGATAAACATGATTACGTATTGTAAGTATATAATTACGTTTTCTTTAGACCGATTTAATTTTTTTTTAAATTGGAACAAATGAGCATGCAGCTTACCTGATGATAATTTTTATTCCCTAATTCACACCAGGAATTTCAATTAAATCTTTATTCTAGTTAAAGTAATCGAATAAATATGCCCTGATAGACGATTATTATAACTTTCTTAGTTTTACTTTTAAATTAATGTGAATAAGTAGTTTTTATAGTAACATGACAGTTATGGCAGTTAAGGCATGAGCCTTATATAAACCATAAAACGAATGGATTTTGAGAAATATTGACATTTAGTTTTATTCTTTTTATATAAGGATTCATTTCATGTAAATCGGTTAAAAAAATCTTACTTTCTCATACAAATTTCTACCTTTATTTTTATACTTTAAGGGGTTGGCTGTACATTGATGAGTCAGTCAAGACTTTTATCTTTACAGGATATTACAGATCTACCATCACCGGAAAGGTCTTCGGAACTCAATAGACTATTACCCCACTTAAAAAAAAAATACCGAGTAAAGTTTTTTTGTAAGGACGTTGTAGACCACGACGTTCTCTAATATATATTTGTAAACACAAAAATGCATTGAACAACATCAGAATTTTAAATTAATCTTTTCTATTTTCAGTAAAAATTCAATATTGAAAATGTTTTTTACATTTTCAATGTTACTTCGAATCCAATCAAAAAGTTATGTCTTTTAATTTAATAACATAATAATATTTCAGGCATTCATCAATATAAGAATAAAATTCTATGAAATAAGGTCCAGTCTTGATTCAGTCAAGTAATTGGTTCATTAACCTCGGCTGCATGCCCTTTTTGTCCCTTCATTGAGCTTATTAAGTTTCGTGCTCGCCTTTACAAGACGTTCATTGAGAAATGAGAGAAAGTGGATAAGTACCTACTCAATTGCCAGTTAGTTATAGTAACGATTAAATTATTAACTACCTATACTAGTACTTACCATATTCACTCATTTATTATCATTATTGGTTATATTTTTATAGTTAAACTTACTGTTTTTTTTTATTTTTTATATAAGGACCACAAACGGAATCACAATAAGTATTATATAATAATATACATTATTTAATATAATTTATTGTAAACTCAACACAGACAGTTTAATTAATAAAAAAAAATGTGTTGTAAGTCTATCATATATATTATCCCTTGTACATATCCTCGTAAACTAACTCTTATGTCCTACATTTATCACTAACCACCACTATCCCATGACTGAGACAGACAAAACATATCAAAAAAATAAAAATTAAAAATAATTCTTATTATGTTATAATTAGATAAACACAACAGTTAACCAAATGGTTTTGATATCAATTCACAATTAATATTGTCGTAAATATAATTTTTCAAATAAATATGAAATTGGTATGTAAGAAAAGATTCCTATTAACAGATTGTTAGTAAAAAGCACCAGCTAGAAAGCAACAGCACTCTCGTTTCCAATAATATAAATAAAAATAATTTTAGTGAATAAATTGCATGATATTAAATTAAAGTACTCGAAGAACCGACAATCGATGGGGAAAAAAGATTATTCAGTGACGACCCCGTATAGGCAAATGCAGTGTGGGATGACCTCTACAAGATTGAGTGCCGACCTCAAATGCATTGCAGGGTATCAATGGATGCAGGTGGCTCAGGACCGTTACTTGTGACAATTTATGAGGGAGGCCTATATTCAGCAGTGGACACGATAACGGTTGATATGATGATGATGACGATTTCAAATAGAAGAAAAAAAATAACATTTTTTAAATAATAATTTAACCCATTTTCATGTTTATAAATAATAAAGAAATCAATAATATAGATCAAACTGTATTAAATGAAACGTTATTTTTATACACGAAAATAAAAAGTCGAATCAAAAACATTCCTTTTGAAGTCGGTTGAAAAGTTAACCACGTACCAGCCCGCAGTGTAGAGACAGTTTTATATCAAACAACGTATATCGTGTGTCAATCCTGTTATTAACCTTTATATAATAAATCATCGTTGCCCAGATGTGAATTAGCCGATACGATCGCAAGGAAACATTTCCTAAAAATAAAAAAAAAATACCTCACACGAACCCAATCAACCATTATTATATGACACAAGATGAGGGCAGATTCTATTAATTTATAACCAATGTGGGTGGATATACTGACATTATTTTTTTATTGGTCTCAACAGACGAATAACTGTAATTTCATGCGCTTTTATTAAGTCGTATAACTAAATTATTGCAAGGGTTATGTTTTGTAACAAAAAATGCGGAAAACATTTTATAACAAATTAAGGTATAAATTTATAGTTTTCAAGTGATGTCACCTTATCATATTTCATCTAGGAGTAGAGTTTTGTATGACTTAAGCCTTTAAGGTAGTAGTATCTTCTAGCAGCGGTCAATAATGCTGTTGCACTATAAGCCAATTATTGTTGAGTTTCGATCTAAATTGAAAGGTAATATATTCTATTAATACACAAATGTATATTATTATTAATTAAATACTAACATAGTTTTTAAGTACACGTAATAACAAAAAATGTAGTCAAAATTGACTAAAATAAATAAGCAATGAAGATACGATTTTAGTTGCAAGAAATGTGTTGTAAAATATTAGTTCCTAAAAGTAGATCAGAAGAATATTATGATACTCATAAAGTAACATCTATAGATAAAACTGTTATCTACAAATATGATACTTTTTATTTAATGAGCTGTTAGGTTATATGCTATTGGTTTTTACCCACAACTTCGTCCGCGTGGCCGCCATATATTTATTGACCGAGATAAAAAGTAGCCTACAAATCTCTCCATCCTATATAGTACATGTATACCAAATTTATAGTGATTTGTTAAATCGTTAAGACGCTATAAAGAAACAATCAAATAAACTCACTTTCACATTAACAATATTAGTAAGGATTTCTAACAGTATATTAAAAAGAAGTTACAGTTCAATAAAATGCATATTACAAGTTTGATCAAAAAAGAAATCAAAACAAAACACATAATGAATTTAAATAATAAAGTTGTTAATAAATCTTAAAAATGGACTTACATGTACAATGCAAATTCTTGGGATGCTAACTTTTGTTCTAGAATTTAGATATGCCGAAAACGCCTCATTTTGCTTAGCTCTTGCTAAATTACGATTTGGACTTTTAACTGGTATCAAGTATCAAATATCTATATCAATAAAACTTTATAGAAATGTAACATAATGAAACATACGAATAATTGACCCGGCCATAAGACAGTGTGTTATATGATAGACATTCCAATAGTAGTGGAAATAAAAATATCAATTAATTGAGTTTCAATTTGTTACAAATTTAATTTAAGCACGTTTACATTTTAATTAAATTCTTTTCCTTTTTATTGTAACTGACTTTAGACATGGTGAATTAAATATTATAATATATCTAAATTTTAAATTAAATTAGGATTAATCTTAACTGGGAATATGATATCAATATAGTATTTTTTTATGCTACTTAGAATGGCAAATTACCTGATGGAAAGTGATAACCGTCGCCTATAGACATAAGCAGTACCATGGACATTAGAGTATACTGTTTCGCCCATGATACCCCCCATGCGTTGCCATTCTTGAGGGTTTGGTGTTATTCCTCTATACCCTGCAAAAATTAAGCCATATCCCACCCTTCAAACCGAAACAGCCATACAAACACAACTGCTTCTCGGTAGAAACAGGAATGGGACAGAGGTGCCCAAGCAAACGACTTTCAACCAAAATCTCCCTCGGGTAATTTGTACAATTTGCCCAATTTTATATTTAAATATATGTCGCTCTTTGCTCCATTTAAACATATGTCGCTCTTAAAACAAAAACTTGATATACAAAAAGTTCTTATAAATGTAACGTTCTTAGGATTAGGGAGATATAAGAAGTCAGTGTAACATTAGAAGTTTCTGATGTAAATGGAATATTTTAGAAGCATTAAGTTGACACTTTTTTGTTAATTAATGAACTATATTATTGTATGTATTTACATAAATTTCTTTTAAAAGACATAATATATATGATTTAATAACTTTTAGGAATGCCAGCAATAGGTACTCGTATCTGTAAATATATCTATGATTGAAGTGCAATAAGAAGTATCTATTTATGTCAAATACTATTTGAGTAATTATTGTAGAATAATGTTATTAAAAAAAAAATAAACATATGTATAAATACCTTCTTTTTCTGGGAAACCTGACAACCAAAACATCTAATTTATATGTCCACGTAAATTATATTTGATCCGTTCATTCGAGCCTTTGAAAAATTCACTCGTTATTAAACTTTACGCGTGTGACCGGCGTGTTACTCGACTGTATTTAAAAAAAATGTTATTGTTTTGATAAAAAATGACATGCCACGCAAGCATCTGATAATGGGCGTAGGCGGGGTCCCAACAAAAGAGAATTGGTTAACACCACACCAACACAATACGGGTTGAAGTTT